TGACAATTTTCTTTGCTTCATGTAAGAGCTGATCCTTGTGTTTCTTCAGTCCAATATCAACAACAGTTTCTTTAAGCAAAATAAAATTAAGCAATATCAAAGCTACAATAAAAGATAATTCACCATTTGTAAGGCTACAGGCCATATCCTCAACCAGATCTTTGACTTTGCAAAGAAAAAGAGCCAAAGTCTGAGCAGTAGCATTTCCAGATACAAACACTGGTCCTGAATGCAAATATTATTAACTTGAATTGTAAAGACAAATATTGAACATACCTGGAATCATATGAGAATTGTCATCAATGGTTGTTAGAAAGGTCACTGGAGCTCGATTTTCATTCTTGTGGCGATAAGATGAATCAAAGCCAACACCATTAGCATGAGACCATAGAATGAGTGACTGTATAGCAAAGGGATGCTGAATTCCTGTAGCAAAGTTGGTGGGAGGGTCTGTTGTGTAATCAGGAGGAGAGTAGCTAAAATATTGACTGATTAATAGTATAATCAAGAAGCAAAACAAAACACACTAGAAGATTTTATCAGGATTTTTCTCTGCAAAAAGCCCAATTGCAAGTAAAGGATCATTGAGAAGCCTTTCTTTACGGCGGACATTCTGAACAATATTGTTGACTTGACTTGGAGTAGGCCAGCGGTAGCGTGGAACCTGGTGTTGATCGCAGAAGGCCAAAAGTCCTCAAAATATATTAGTTGCACTATTCACAATCAACAAAGGAATTTTAGAAAAACATACTAAGTTTAATTTGGGATGCTGTCATATTTGCGAGTGAGGCTAGCTCTAAGATGTTCTGCCGAACAAAATGTGACATTTCAAGATGCCTGTGGTGGGCCTTGTGGTGTACAAACTGTTGCCAGACCATAGCATTTGAAAGATCATTTGTCATGACCTCAACCTATAGTGGTTGAGTAAAGAAATAAAAGAAAAAATAATTACGCACATGAATCTTGACCTTTCTAGGGCAGCTGCTTGCCTTTGGACTTTGCTTCTTCCTGACACACTTTCCTCTGAGCTGCTTATCCACACCTTTACTTTCCTCTTGATTATTCTCACTCTCATCCTCTGAATTGCTCTCATCCTCCTCCTCCTCCTCCTCTTCTTCACTCACATCCTCATCTGATTCTGCAGGAGGTGCTTCAGCATTGCAACTTCCAAGACATTGATACTCAACACGGAAAACAGGTCAAGATTTATCCTTGTACTTTGATGGAACTTTGCGATCCTGAGTTGCCCATTCAAGAAGAAAGGAGCGAGCACGTATGTCCTTAGGCCGATCACAAGGATGACCAAAGAACTGCATAGAGATGAGACCACTGGAGATCTTGTACTCCTGAGGTGAGTAGTCATTCTCCTGTAAAAAGCAAGAAAAAATCAGTAAAAGTATCATAATAATATAAAACATAAAGAATCACAAAATCCTGGAACAGCCTGTACACATTTGCTGTAGGTGTTGTTCCAAGACATGTCCATCCATCCTTCTCTAACCGGGTGAGCCTATTCAGTGGCCTCATATCTGGTGACTCTGTGGTTCCGTGACGTGGCTGTTTCTTTGGTATATGAGACACTTCAATCTGCCAGATAGGTATTTGCATGCTGAACCGGACAGCCTGCGCAGTACGTGGAGTGTACTCGTTAGCATTTGGATCCTTCTTGTTGGCCTTCTGGGGAGGTGTGAGAGGCTGAAGAAATTGGGAAGACATGACAGTATCTTGATCAGGAAGTGGATCAGTTCTGATTGCCTGGCCTGATGGATGGCC